CATGGAAAGGGTCAGCAGAAGATCCTATGCCCCGAGTCCGAGTCCAGCAGAACTTAGGTGGTGCATGGGCCTCGTTGCTGAATCTCTTGGCAGGAGAGCGATTGCACAGATGTTCCATGGCACCGGCTCTGAATTAGGGCTGGATTTCCAGAGGGCCTGCCAGCTGAGCACCTGCAAAGTTTGCATGAGCAAAGCTCACGTGGACTCAACCATTGGGTGGTGGTGCATCTAGCAAGCTGACCTCTGTGCACAGATCATAGAATCACAGAACACTAGGGCTGGAAGGGCCCTCGAGAGATCAAGTCCAGTCCCCTGGCCTCATAGCAGGACCAAGCACCATTTAGATCTGTGGTTCCCAAACTTTTCGGCATCACGCCCCCTTTTTGATTTTTGAGAAACCCTTATGCCCCACCCCCAAATAGCAGCAAAACTTGTTGAGCAAAAAAAAGGAACTGACTTGGGCTGAAAAAACACCGGATGTCAATGGGGGGGGGGGGAGGTTGGGTCGCCTTACACACCCCCAGTTTGGGAACCTATGATCTAGATCATCCTTGACAGGTGTTTGTTTAACCTGCTTTTCAATATCTCCAGAGCTGGAGATTCCACAACCTGCCCAGGCAATTTATCCCAGTGTTTAACCACCCGGACATGCAGGAAGTTTTTCCTAATGTCCAACCTGAACCTCCCTTGCTGCAATTTCAGCCCATTGCTTTTTGTCCTGTCCTCAGAGGCCAAGAAGAACAATTTTCCTTGATCCTCCTTGTAACACCCTTGTAAATACCCGTCGGCAGTTGGCATAAGCAAAAGGCTTGACTTACTGGGGGCAAAATCACCCTCGCTTTGTGCATGTCCCGATAAGAAGCTCTTTGAAAGGATGGGCAGTTCCACTCCTTTTGCTAAAAGCAGAATGTTTCCGAAATCTCATGGGCCCCTCTCCACCCCGCCAAGTGCCCTCCTGAGGCTTTTAAAGAGAACTAAGATTTACCTGCTCTTCCAATCCAACTCCTTGTTCACAGGAAGGCACTTCAGGTATCCAGCAAGCCAATTTTCAAGCGAAAGGGAAAGGAGGGTTGCTGGGAAACGACCCTCTGGAGAGAGAGAGGTGGTAAAAATAGTACATTCTTCAGATCCCGGGTTAGCGCTGCTATTTGGAAGGCAGCATGTGCAGCCCCATGTCAGAACCGCTCCCGTTTTTAAGCTTTAAACTTTTCTTGGGTGCGGGGGGACTTTTCCTGCTTGGACCCAGGTGTCTGTGCTGGGACGAAGAGGATGTTGATTTGCAGCCTCTGGAGCATCACCCGAGTGGCGTGTCTCCTGCTCTGTGGTCCCTCCTGGTTTCTTTCATTGGAGATTTGCTGGGAAGAAAGAGAGAACAAGATGGTGAGTAGATTTCCAGGAGGTTCCCCTTCCCCGCCCCCCTCCCCCGCAACACTTATCAGGAAGAGGTAAAGGACAATGCCCAGGTGTGACGTCGCGTCGGGGTTCCCACGACTCCTGCACCCCCGTGATGGCACGAACAGACTCCACCAGCCAGTAGAACAGAGGGAGTTTATTGCTTCTCCAGGATACAGCACAGCACAGATGTAATCTGGTTACAGGAACTGGGCCTAGGAGGCCTCAGTGCCCCCCCCTTGAGATGGGGGGTTGCTGGCCCCCTAAATCCCAGCCCCCTCCCTAGCTCCTTCTCCCCTGCTTCCCAGACAGAAACTCAAACTCTCTCCAGCCTTGCCCCCCAGCCAGGTGCTGGTCTCCGCCTTCCTCCCTTTGTCTCTTCCTGGGAGGCTGCGCCTGGGTGTCTGGGTTAATCCCCCTTTGGGAGAGTCAGTGAGAATCTCCCATCCCAGCGCAAGGGGCCCCGGGTCACCCAGCAGGCAGCCCCCCCACTACGTCACACAGGTTACCTGCCTGACCCATCAGCTACTCGGCTGGGCCGTGGTACAGACAGCAGCCAGTGGGGGTCACCCACAGCCCAAGCCTAGCAACCAGCAAGGTACCCACACTACGTCACACCAGGCACGACTGATGAGCTGTAACTTCAGCCTGGTTTTTGTGGCTCCATTTGCTGCTTGAGATGAAGCATGGCACTAAGGAGATCTAATGATAAAGAAATGCTCCTTGTGTAGCTTCTTTCACCTGATGCTCTTACATGGTGAATGGCCCCTCTCAGATACATTGAATACCCATTTTACAGATGGGAAAACAGAGGCCCAGAAGGTTTGGGTGACTTGCCCGCAGGCCCGGATATTGCACAATGTACTTTAGGCCAGGCTGATCTTCTCAAGCTTAACCCCTGCTCAGTGTTCTCTGTAATCTGTGCACAGGAGAGATTCAAAGGCCTCACAGCTGATGAGCAGTGTCCACAGCTAGGCAGTTTGTTTCCCCTGGTGGTGCACCTTCACACATGCCTTGGTGCACATAACAATGTATTCCGCACATGGATGGAAAAAAATCTGCACATGGGTGGAAAAGATTAGAGGGACCCTTGCCCCGATGCCTGTGTGCAAGTCAAGGCTTGTACACGCCAATCGTAGCTTGTGCGCCCGCCTGGAGGACGGGTGTACATTGAACAATGCCATTACGCCAGCCTGGGGCCTAGTGAATCAGTATCAGGGCTGAGAATAGAATCTGGGCACGTTTCTGCCCTCCTCCCCCGGTCCGGCCACCTCCCCTTCCCCGCAGTGTTCGCGGTATTCTCATCGCTTTGTCTGTTTTCCAAGGTAACTCTCACTAGCTGGATGTGCCGGGGAAGGGGAGGTGGAGTGTGTGGTAGGCCAGCCCCTGGCTCTGAATAAAGCCCCGCGTTTCAATGGCGAGCGCAGGTGGGCGCTTTAGAACAAGTGAAGAGGCTTGTTCCGTACACCGCCTCGGAAGGTCAAGGTAAGGGACCGCTGCATGCACAAAGCCGGGAGGGAGGCGAGAGCTGAAGCCACCGAGAAGCGCCCCTACGGCTGCGGAGTCCCTTTGCCTCAGGCACACTCGGCCCTGGCTGGTTCCCCTCTGGGTCTTTTTGGAGACGAAGGCTGGAGACGGTCGGTGTCCGAGTACCGCCCGGCTCGGTGGTGGGAGTGGGGTGGGGACGGGGTGGGCAGGAATCGGAATCTACCGGGAAAGACACGTCCAGTGCGTTGAGTCAGGCCTCTCCCCAGAGTCCACGTCCCTGTGCCTGCTCTCTTGTCTCTCCCATCGCCCCAGGAGCTTGACGCCGTCTCCGGGACGTTGCCCATCAGCCGCCGAAGGCTGCCTGGCGTTTGGAGAACAGGTGAGGGCAGGTGGCAGCTTCCTGGGTTTGCACTCGGCCTGGGTGACGTTTGAATTGAGCTGCTGAGCGATCCACAGGTCTGGAGCCTGAATTCCACTATCGAGCCACGGACAAGGGCCACGCAGGGCGCTGGCAGCACCTTCTCCCCGGGCTGCCTCCTGCCAAGATGGCCGCCCCCTCATCCACAGGGGCCATTTGTGGGGGTGGGTAGGGAGGGCAGATCAGTTCTGGGCGTCTTTGCCAGCTGTGTTCACAGTGAGTTTCCTCTGTCCCCTGGAAGCTGGGCTGAGACCCACCCAGGTCGTCTCACACCAGGGTGGCTTTAAGGGGACTGCCAGTCCAGACTGGATGTGAATCCGCTGCCTGAGGTGAAGTGCGACAGCCCCCCGACAGCCTCCGAGCACAGTCTGACTGGCTCCAGCCTTCTCCCAGGCAAGTTCCAGGCTGCCATGGAAGGGCTTGTCTTTGTGTC